GATGCTGATTTCGGTTTGTATAAGCGTGTAATGCCATACTCGTGTACAGATTGCTACTTATCGGTCACCCGTATGATCGATAAAAGCTTCGCGTAGTGTAACTAAGATAAATAAAAATGAATGTGAGCAGGTCAGATGTCAATAATCGGGCGTGATTACGATATGCATCCATCATAATACCGAATCACTGCAACGCTGAGTGGTAATACCAGCAGGCAACGCATGTTGCGTGTGAGAGATAGGTAAGGGAAAAGCAGACAGATGAGAAAGAAGCCTATTCAAATGAGTACCCGAGATTGGATTATATGGATCGTTGGTTAGCCGTGTCAGAAAAGGTCATTCCTCTCCCAAAATTTAGAAGTAGCAGAGAAAATATACAATTCGAACTCTCCAAAATAAGACAGTAAACACGCTTTGAACACAACCACCAAGGAAGTGAGGTACTGAAAAAGGTCAGCAGGTTCGCTCTGTAGCATTATTCGCTAGGGAACAACGTACCCGAGAAGTATGTCCACATTTTGAACTTCTTGAATCGAGAAATCTCGAACAGGACGATGCTGTATGGAGGAAAATTTTCTCGCTCTTCAACGAACCGATCAGCGTTCGACAGGCATGTTTCTTCTCCGCGTTTCACTTTCACCAGGCTACGAATGACCTGATTAAGAGAAGTTTAGATTTTTTATTGCACACACACCTTAGTGTGTGATGAACAGCAGACGGGGTAAACCCCTTAGTCACGAGGACCTGTTGCTCTGTAGTGGAAAACGGCAACCTAAATCCCGGGACTTGGAGTGGCGAAACACATAAGGCCCCGATAGGTTAGATGTCGGGAACAGGCGCGTGGAACTCCTACCCGGTATGCGGTTTCGCGACTTGGGCTGTGTTAGCATCAACCCACTGAGAGAGAGAGACGGTCCTCCAATCGTCCTGGACAATTTCGACTACGCGGTGACTGCATTCATTAGACATTTTGTTTCATCCAAACACAAGACGCTCCTCTACGTACATGACTGACTGAGCGCTCACACAACCAATAGCTATAGGGAGTGCAGTGTCAGGTTACCACTAAGATTTTGCCCCGTATGTGATAAATAATACAAAGAATAGCAAATAACTCCGTAATTGGGAAAAATACTACACCAAAGACGTGGTTCTCTTATATATATATCAGAAATGCAACACACGAAACAAAAGCTACTCAGATGATTTCAGTGAGAAACCAACGGGATGCTTACTTGTCTCGCAGAAATATCGTGCATAAAATCCAGTACGCAGGAAGGATCGTTCGGTGTGCCGTGGTCTGGCCACACAGTGAAATGGTAGTGGTAAACTGTGAACCCGTTTTCTTCATTAGAATCATCGGTTGTTGCGCTGAGCCTCGAAGAAGCTATTGATCCCAACTGTGAATTTGGTGGTACAACCCCGGAATTGGCCTCTGAAACGTGATCACCTGCTACAAGTCCGGTTCGATTAAGCGGTGAGGGTTCCGCGCACTCGGGCGATTCCAACGAGCTGTTCTGAGCTGTAACAGGCTCCTTCGTGAGTAACAATTGACGGAGAGTATAGTTTGCGGAATTCCGTTCTGATACGTGTTTGACTCGAAGAATATGTCCGTATGTGTGGAAAATACGTTCACCTTCTTCAGCGGTAGGCCAGTAGCAAACACATTTATTCTGTGGATAAAACGATCATTCAGTTTAGTCAATATAAAAAGTTGAAATCCAGTTGACTGTTGTTGAGTAGTGAAATTATACTGACAAAGAATACAGATAAAAAGGGGGCTTATTATCATCTGGTTCCGATCGCTGAAGTAAATCGTAAACATTGTAAAGAATATTCAAAACGAAGCTCAGTTAAAGGAAAACAAAGCCCTGACGACAACACAGCAGGTTTAAAGTCAAAATCAATACGTTTTCTTTGCGAAGTGAAAACGATATAAACAGAATGACATACTTGTGGTAAATCCGAACAGAATAATTTCAACCATCAGCTTCCGTATATATTTCCTGAGAACCATACTCTTCTAAACTCGATTTCCATGGAACGCTAATATCCGATGGACACGTATTATTATATATATTATATTTCACACTTGTCTGAGAATAGACTGCCTCCCAAGGCCTCAGTATGGTTGGGGGTGGGTGTCTAGGGTTGCGGCTGGTCACCCTGCCCTTGCACCTCACGAAATGCCCCCATACGACCAAGCGTCTCAAATAGCCTCTGCTGAGGAAGCCCTACTTACTGCCTTCTCGCGGCGGAGGTGTTTTCCCACCAAAGTGAGAGGACGAAAAGCCGATATCCGGGGCTATAGCCGGGTTGGTGGACCACTGGCAGTTCACCTGGGGGAGTTGGCCAAAAACCCTGATTCCAAACCAACCATGAGGAGACGTACGAACCACACCCACACCTTTTCGGTTGTGGCAGTGGTCACCGGCTTGATTGGGCATTGAGGTGTATTGGGCACCNCTAGTCGAAGGCTCCAGTTGTGGATTCCTCAAGAAAATTCACCTGCCTTGGCCTGGGCAACCTGGCAGTTCTCAGCCCACAAGCCAATTGTGGAACATTTTTCTTTTATAAAGATTATTGTACCATGATTTGTTTAGCACACAGTCTGTCCTCGGACAAGTGTGAAATATATATATATATATGAGGATAGACTGTGTTCCAAGCAAATCACGATACAATAATCCATCTGAAAAAAGAAAAACGTTCCATTATTGGCTTTTGGACTGAATACTGCCAGGTTACCCAGGCGAAGGCACGTGAATTTTCTTGAGGAATCCACAACTGGAGCCTTTGGTTAGCCAAAGCCTGACCCGCAAGGCAGCGGAGTGGTGTGAAAACCGAAATCCATTGGGGCCGGTGTCCAATTCACCGGATCATACGCCCTTTGGATGGGGTCAAACATCCAAGGTGCCCAATCGGTTCTATCAACGTTACCCGCGGCGTTCTACAAGGGTCTGTACTTGGAGCCCGAATTTTCCTCGCATTCATAAATGGCCCACTGAATGTATTAGGGCCAAAAACAAACTTTGGAATACACTCAACGCAACTTATCAATGGTCTACGAAGAACGACATTGCATTTTACATGCTTTACATGTTTTTACATGCTAAGTCCTATCACTACACCACAAGCGTGGATTCTCATTTTTCCTCAGAAATCACCGGCTGCCAAATACCTCAAGTGAGGACTTAGGCATAATTGTTCAGGAGAACTTAAGCTGCTCGATCAACTGTACCAGAGCTTCGTCCGTTGCTGTGAAAAATGTCGACTTGCTTAGGCCGGTCGTTAGTTGAACTGAATCAGTGTCGTCCCAAAGTTTACTATCAGTGTATATTCGCCCGTACAAAAGGGTACGCTATCCAAGCTTGGAGTCCATGGTTGCAACGTGATCGTAAGATACTGGAGCGTCCACAAAGGATTACAACTAAGATGGTCAAGAGATTGAGCTGACTCATCTATGAGGAGAGATTACAATCATCGGGACTATAGTCTGCTCAGAACCGCCGAATTCGAACAGACTTCATTTTGGCATATTAAGTACTGCAGAACCCAAACTATCCATGTCAGCCGCTGCTCACATTATCGCCCAACATATACCTTAGGGGATATCGATTTCAATTTACTGATTTCAAAGTGTCAACTGGAATGCCAACGTCAATCTTTTGCAATTAGTGTGCAGTATTTGGAACACCCTTCCGTTTCACGTCGTTTGTGCACCAGCTGTGGAATCTTTCAAGTGGAGAATTGATGAAACCCTAGCACACCCCGCATTCCTACACAAACTAAAAAAATGCAAATTCGTTGAAGACCAAATTATGTGTTATCTCCTACACGGAACTCTATGTGACATTTGATGATATTTTCGCCGATAGACGATTCAACAGTATAAATACCTTATGGGGACAAGAGAAGCATGAGCTTGTAAATGATTCCCGTAATAAAACTTTGACTTTGACCGTCGACGTGGATGCGACGTTTTGTTGAATTTGAAAGGTCGTTAATATTGTACTACCGTTCGTTCAATTATGCTCTATGGTTGTGAGATTTTGAATTTGCGAGTAGAAGATTCCCCTCGACTAGAAGTTTTTAATTATCGATGTTTAGGCAGTTTAGCCCACGTTGGACGGAGGGAATACGGTAGTAATCGGGAGCTAAGGCGGCGTCTGTTTGGGAGTTCATCTGTGATAAATTTTCCGAACGCATCGAAGTGATATCAGTAGGCTTTGCTGGTTAAGACACGTATTGCGAATGTCTGGCTATTGTCTGCTGCACCGCACCACGTGGAAGTTAACAGATGATGCATAGATGGGACATGAAAAAAATGTATAGAGCTCTTAAGTGGTATAGGTGTCTCGCGCATTGCAGGTTGGAGTCCGAGAGGCCCTGTAACTGGCTGTTGGGAAACACTGAAGGTTATGGCAGCAAACCGACAACAGTGGCGTTTTTGTAGTCATTCTTTATCAGTCCAGAATGGTTGAAACGGTATGTATGCACAGTTCGATTGTGTACCCACTGTGTTGACCATAAAGGTGCACTTTTCTGCCCCTCTCTCAAAAGAGGTCAAACAGCTGTCCACCTAACAAATTACCACTAACCTTGTATGCATAGTTTGGCAGCGATCAGTGAAGTTTGCTTCACTGTAGGACAATGATGGTGATGAAGCAGGACCATTTGATTTCACCGTCTGAGGTGGTACGAGTCTGTCCTGCGAATGCCTGAACAGTTTACCCTACCGTGCCCCATTGTCATACACTGAACCAAACTGCAATAGACAGCGAAATGGGCAAGCTTTGGTGTGGCTTCCGTCAGGGTCTTCGGGCTCCAGACTGAGACCCCAAACGATTTAGATTGCCGCTATCTGGACAGACCAGATGATGTGACAATCAATCGATGTCGGTGGCATGAATGCGACCAAATGTTTTCATCCTCCCTCACCACCCCAAATGTAAGTCATTAGGAACATCAATTCGAATAGTGTGGCGGGACCGCAATGCTCGAAAAACATTCATCGNTCATCGACTAGTTTTCAACCCCAGAAGATAGCGAAGTGTGTAGGCTGGAACAGAGCTCAACAATTTGCGTGGGTTGATGATCAATCGAACCAGTTACAGACTATGAGAATGATAAATTACTTAATTTCATGTCTAGTGGTAATGCAGTTTGTTTATAAGAAATAGATTCCAGTTGTCGTTCAACAGACTGCGGTGATAAAAGGTTTCATTTGGCGGAAACTTTTCAAATGTTTGTAGGACACTAGTAGTCGCATGGTGCATCCATCCAAACGTTCTTTTGGAATGAGAAACAGAGACAGCCCAATCATGCAAGCTAATCATGTTTCGTAGTTTAATACTCAGTTGCTGGAGAGAGGGAGAGAGAGAGAGAAGGAACTAGAGAAGGGCAGACAACAAGTCTGAGCTAGCATACGTGCGCACCTTTCGGCCGACTGATCGACAAAGGGCCATTGAGAAAAGACACCGTGTGTCATCTTCAAGCTGGATGGTCTATTGAATCCGGCTAAGCAGACCGATCGCAAGGATAGATAAGTACGTCAAAATGACTCCTTGTCAAACCTCCTTTAACTGACTAATCGACACAATAATTTTCTCACAGTAGCAAACGAAAACTGAGATCTAAAACCGTCATAGCATGGCAATTGGAAGATGTTTGCTCAGGCGCCAAAAGCCATGGTCACCAAAACGCGGTGATTTCCCACGAGAACAGCGAGTGTACTAAAATGAAGCGAGGCGGCAGAATGCGTAATGGATACTGTTTATGCTTACATACCAAAACAACATCGGGGGGAGGGGAATCTGAGAGAGAGCAGCTTCTGTTGTCGGGACTACACGAAATCACCTGCATCACTGCGTTTGAAAAAATATATATCTCGTGGGCTAAAGCATTACCAGCATTATCGAACAAACAACTAACGCGAAAAACTCAGTACACTCAGAGATGATACACTGCATTTTCGGACGAGCTCATGTGGGAATGAATGCTGAAGGTTGCGGACACTTACCCTATCGCGTTCTACAATCTTGGTGATCATGACTATCACTGCACTACGCTCTTGCCAGACCATCCGCCAAAATGAATCTTGCGTGGATTGTAGAACACCCTGTGTGGCAATATAGCGCGGTTTGCCGTTGAAAAAGAAAGCCGCTGAAGAATTAGTGCCCCCGGCAGTCAGGACACTGGATCCAGAACCGAGGGACCAACCGCTGGTCAGGTGAGCATTCCCATTCGATGGATTGTTTGTGAGTGAGGCGGGNGGATTGTTTGTGAGTGAGGCGGGTTCCAAAACCGGGGGATGTGTGTGATGAGTACCTGGGTTACAACCAAGCGGATTAGTCCCGTTTGATAGGGATTCGGTTAAATGAACCTAGAATCAAAACAAGTAGGAGTGAATTAAATGACACAATGTAAAGCAACCCAGGGAACTCACAATGAAATTAATTCTTAAAATGATGAAAGTTGATTCGGTTATTCCGAAAGAAGCACAATGTGTATGAATTTTTATCAAAGACCAAGCGATCCATTTTAGTCTTAATTTCCAAGTTTTAAGTAAAACAAAAGGGAAGAAAAACAGACAACCTCGGCTTCGAAATGATTCGCTGTTTTCCAGGAAAACAGAAGAGGTGGAAACGGTGTCGGTAATTATCACTGAAACGGTCCGTTCTACTCGGTGTTTGTGTAGTTCACTACTCCGAAACTACGTCACCAATTCCAACATATATAAACGGTGGGGTTTCGTCAGTACAGTATGACCGAAAGTATCGTCTGAGTTCCCTAAAAAACCATCTGCTTTGGCCTGAACAATCTGATAATAATCCGCTTACTAGCAAATGACGGACCTTTGTTCTTTGTCAAAGTTTGGACTCAGATGCATGTGAAATGTTATTATTATTATTATTATTATTATTATTATTATTATTATTATTATTATCGTCATTTAGCGTAATTCAATGAAGCGAACTTCACTGACCGCTGCCAAAGGATATATATATATATATATATGGCTCTGAAAGAGCTGTCTATCCAAAAGTCACCCGGTGTTGTGAACAAGGTTATCGTGACGAAAATACACTTCCTGGGTACAAATATATGAATTCAATGGCAAAAGATTACCAGATACGAATGCCTGAAGAGCGGCAAGCACCGGGAAACCGGTCGTGTACTTCCAGGGAAATTTGGTCTAGTCATTCGCATATTACTTATTATGAACTATATACATCGGTAAGCCAACAAATCATTATTCGCTACGCACAACACTGATTGTAATTACTGACCGGCCAACAGATATAGTTAGCATTGATGTAGTCAGAGCCGAGTTCTTTCGGGTCACCATCCCGTAATCGGACGAGAGTTCGATCGTAAGGAAGGATATTCTTGTAGCGATTTTTATCCCGATTGTAGTATTTCGAACCTTCCTCGCGAGAGTTGCTCTTTGTCTGCAAAGGTGGACAGAGAAGAAGAATGGTACGAAATTAAGCTCTGATAAACTTGAACAATATGCTGACTTGCTATTTTGCATGTCCGAAGTACGAGCATATCAAAACGAGGCAAAAATGGGGAGAACTTGATCAGAACACGTTTTCTAATTTATGTGGACCCACATGAATTATGATACAAAAAAAAACGACATCAGACATACTGTCGCTGAATAGGGAACACCACATATTAGCCCGTTATGGAGGAATATTGATCGAAACCAGACCGGTGTTTGGTCGGCGATTCAAAAAGGTTGAAAAAATTGCGTGTCACGCAACCGTTAAATGTCCTCTCATGAGCATAAAGCAACATCAAATAAATCGATAAATCAATAACCGGTGTACACCACAGAAATTACGTCACCTATACAATGTACTGAAGTACACAGTACAGCGACGATAGATGGAGACCGTTCGAAACGACATCAGTCTTGTGAGCAACAAGGCAAGCTCATACAGGAACTAAATATGCTCTGAAACCCTCCGCGTGAACAATCCAAATTCAGACGAGAACGGGGGGGAGGACAAGCAAGAAGGAATCCGATAGAAGACGATCGATTACCTAGGGCAATTTGGATAAGATGCGCGTAGCGTTCGGTAGGAATGTAGGGGGGACAGGTAGTTTCTGGTGTACATGAGTATTACAAAATAATTAAAAAAAACAATGGGTAATTACATGTGCTTCTTGGTGTAACTCTTCGAATTCCTCAAGGAAACCGGCCAAACCACTACCGTGACCATTTTCCTGTTCCAACTGTCTCATACGCTCATCGATTGTGGACACGTTGAACCGGGTAGCGTTGAATGGCTAAACGAGGTGGGTGTCAATAAAACAAAAAGACATGATGTGAAATGAATACGCGACAACACGCAATTTTATAGCATCACTACCGGAACCAAGAGAATTGGTCCACTAGTACACGAAGATTTTGATGGGAGACAACAAACGCTACGTTCATTGAACTAGAAAGTCTGAAAAGTAGACAGAAACTAGATGAAAAAGGAACAGGATGGAACATCAGTCACACCGCAACTTTCATCTTTGAACCAAGGGAGAGATTTTGTCACTGGACTGGCTCCGATCCGCCCGGTCGATTCGCAGTGATAGCAGGTGCACACAGATCGGGCGTGAAAAGATAGAGTCCAGTCGCCTGTCCATACTACAAACATTATAAACAAACACAAATGTGTTTGGAATGACGATCCAATCGGAGAGATGTTCCAAAAAGCTGATCAAATACAGATAACATCACACACGTGGCTTGAGAGAATACGATCAATGTTTTCTGTTCGTATGGAAGTAGAAAGCGCTTCCGAAATGATCATTCATTTTCAGGCCAAAATAATGTGAGTAAAAGTGTAGGTAACGTGTAAACAGAAAAGTCCAAATATCTATGTGGAACATGACAATAGCAAAAAGCTGAGTCTCCTTTGTCCACTGAATTAGGACCGAAAGAGGAAATAAATCACAAGATGTCGACATTTCGTTTCATCCCCGTGATCACACCTGTTTGTTTTACATCATCAGTTGAGGAAATTAATCGAAATTTTAACATCTCGCGACATTTTTCATTCTTTCAGTCTTGATTTAAAATTATATTAGCCTAAGGAGTACCGCAAATCACTTTCCAGGAATCATGAAGTGGATTTTGGTAATTTGAAAAATTGTCATTTCGACCACGGTTCGGTACTAGAAACGAGGTAGCGTTGTGTCTGACAGCGTATCACCGAATCCTATCCGGTACGTTTACCGACGATTTCCAGACAGAAGGCAACTAGAACAGTCCAAGCGTTCATTGAAAGCATAAAGAAACTGTCGTAATTATGGGGGGGGAGATAACTGGCTCCTCTGGGTGCCCAGATAGCCTTAATATCCAAACAAAACGAACAGCATTGATTAGTGACAAGAGAAAAACGGTAGAGCTAACAACATTAAACAAATAAAGTAATCATCAAGTAATAACAAACGGCCTTTTTGCTCTCGATCTGCCAACTTAACTCCACCAGTTGAAAGATCAGAGAAAACGAAGCTTAATAATATTAAATTGGATGCAAAACACAGGACTACAGGGTCCGTATTTGGGCTAAAAACAAGATTACCGAAAAGACAAAACACAACTCCATTGGAGTTTTCCGATAAGCAGCAGTTGTCGCAAATAATAGTATTAATGATAGTAATAGCGGTGAACTATTCGATCAGAATAGTTCAGAGTAAAACTGGATGCATGGACTTAGAATTAAGCCTGTTTAGCAGTGCCACAAGGAGCGACTTGTGTGAGTATCTACACAAAATCTGCACGTTATTAATCGTTCAAGGTCGGAATGCGCGTAACTGAAGTCAAAGATAACTGATGCAGCAGATCGAAAAACATGTTGATGCACGATTTCAATCTCGAAGATTCACTTTCGGTGACTGAAAACAAACAAATCGGCGGTGTCTATCTAGACTACAAAATGAATCAGAACAAACAAACAGTGCTTCCGAAAATGGACAAAATTTACCTGCTTTAACGAGACCAAACCGCCACTTTTCTCCACCATGGGTGTGTTTGTGTAGAAAGCGATCAGATCTTTTAGGCTGGAGAACTGATGGCCACCACCCACATCGTACATCCCGTTGGGTTTACCGTGAATCATGATGTGCGCCACCTGTGAGCTACTCGTGAGTACCGACAACACGTATGAGCCTGGACGATGAACTGATTCACGCACCAGAAAACATCCATACACGTCCTTTTCTAACAGCATTTTCTCCGCCTCCTTACCCGTTATTCGTCCATGAAACCATCTGTGTGACAATGAAAAGCAATCCATGAACGAGGCACATAGAATGTATGACCTGCTACGAGATAATAGCAAGAACTAGGGAAAATGCCACACTATTAGGACCAAAAATAATAGTAGTTTGGGGAAATCGCATTAGAATGAAGATGAGTATTGTTTACAGTCACATGAAATTTTCATCGATTTTCGTGGTATAAGAGATAGAGCTAATAGGTTCGGTTAAATCTCGGCTCTCCAATAAAATCTCGTAGTTTAGTGAGTCCGACTGAAGGCAGTCGCTTGAGTCGGTTTTTATCCGGGACGATATTTTCCAGCTGATGAATAGGAAGGCACTTATACCTTGACTGTACTTGGTCAATTGAGGCGACTTTTCAGAATGAAACTCCTAATTCAGCTTGATAATACCAAGCTTCTCGATTCTAAAAAACTTCTCCAATTCGGATTCTTCACCAGCTCTCTGATGGTTGTGTATCTCAATCAAAGATGCATCTGTCATCATGAAGTGAATGAAACGGTCAAGGACACCGTATTTCATTCATTGGTACTACAAAAACGAATAAATGAGGAAACAAATTATTCGGTTGTTTCGATGAGGTAACTCGTATGGTAGTATTTCACATTAGATGCATATAGCAGATTACGATCAATGTAAAACACCGAGTAGTAGCCATAAATAGATGCTAAAAGTAATCCATGCATTCTGAAGAAAGAAGAAAACCATTTAATTGTATCATGCCTTAGATAAACGGGGAAAATTCTCATAAATGGAACAAACGCTTCCACAAATACAAACAGTCGATAATTAAGAAATTATACCTTTCGGTGGTCGGGTCCTCACAGATGAGCGGATGTTTAAGCTTGATGAGATCACCATTTTTCTCCTTCAATTGGCCTTCGTTTTCCATGTAGTAGGTCACCAATTCGAACAAAGTAGCGAACTTTTCCCCGCCGTACAGGTCAAGGAATTCGTCCGTATTTTGGATCCGTATGTGAGTCACATCGTCTCCGCGTCGGACGGAAAGCGTAAAGCTGCCTGGCGTGCTGTGGCTGGGTCGTGCCAGGAAACTTCCATCGACACCTTTTTGCAGCAGTAGATTTTCCGCCTGTATCCCAGTGAGGTTGTGATGAAACCACCTACCAGAGGTTTGCAAAAACCGAGAAAAGTCACAAAATTCAGCAATGAAAGGCGGGTACTGGTGAGGTTATTGATAAAAATAATCTATTTCAAAAGAGAAGCCACTACAGCAACATTACATTACTTTTGTCTAGGAAAATCAAGCTGCATCTTAGTTTCACTTTCAGTTTTACAACCATTAACCATGCACTTTCGCGCGCGGGTTTTGGTTGCTGTCTTTTGGTTGCCCATTTGGATAAAATAGCGAAATGAAGATTGGAGTGTCGAAGCAAATTCAAGCGGAAG